CCCCAAAACCCCAAAACCCCAAAACCCCAAAACCCCATGATTCAGATTTTAAAGAATTAATGAAATTAAAAAACTTATTTTAATGATTAGTTATTCTTATTGAGGAGCAATTTTTAATATTTTATCAGAAGATGCTACATAGTTAGCAATGATCACATCCTCTATTTTTCCCTGTCTCTCCTGGAGTAGTATTATATTAGATACTTAGCATTTTAATTTAATCACTAGTGATATTGTCTGTCTACTTAGGTTTTTAACCACTAGAAAAGGTTTATTCAAATTACTGCAGACTTTATTATAGATCTTCTTCACTATCATATATTTTATCATTCTAAGGTGGTCTTCTAGATTTTTACAAAGTATGTAAGTTTGTTCCTCTAGGTTTTTTGCTAAACGGTGATTCAATTTCATCTTATTTGGTCAATTTTCATTATTAAAAGCTGGAGCTATTTCTTAATCTTTAATTCCCCTTATTATATTTGCCTTCATTATCATTAAGATGATGAATTAGATCCTTTGATGTGTTAAGTTAATTGTTATCTTGGCCTTCACTATACTTAAAACTGCTAATTTGATGCATTAATTTGTGAGTTTAGGGGGATATAAGCTAATCCATCTTGCTGCTATCACCCCTCTAATACCTCATAAAGCTTAATGAATTTTGCTATGATATCGATTCAGTCTTGGTATTTTCTAAGTCCTCTTCTTTAATTGGATCATATTTCATGTAAATATCTTGAAGCAGCTTTTGCCTTTATTCGTCACTCATTTACTATAGCTCACTATCATCTGCATATTAATTGCTGAAGTAGTTTTATTCCGTATCAAAATCTTAAACTTAAGGTAGTTATTGATCCATATCAATAGTCATCAGCCCAACATCTTAGAAGAAGCCTATTTCTTATAAGTCTCTTGTAGCATCCAGCAGTTTTATTTCTTTATCTTAAAGATTTTTAGAAGTATCCATCATTCTATCGTAACTTTTAAGCTTTTAGTCCTGCTATAGTTTAATCATTCGCTTACAGTATTGATGAGTAAGCTTAGGCTTTAATTCAACAGTCATTTTTGAAGATGTTTGAACGAGTCTATTCTCAACAGGGTTCTATTATTTCTCTGTACTCCTTGGTGTAATATTGAATCTCCCAGTGATTGCATCATTACTAATCATCATAGCCTTTGTAAATCGTATATGCTAACTATTCATGAGTGATTCAATGAGAACTTCATCTAGATCTATGGTAATTTATCCTAGCTAAGAATGGAATATTCTCGATTCATCGTCTAGTTCTTCTTACTCATCATCATACTCCATCATTGAATCTAGTGTTTTGTTTTATTTAGTAAGTTGATCCCTTTCAGATTCTAAGTCCTTATCGTACATCTCAATTCGAATTTATTAGGAATCAACTTCAATAGGACTAAATTTAGGTTATATGTTATTGCTTTTATTACATGTCAAGAGATAAATTGAAAATCAAGCTCTATGATCCATTAGACTTATAATCATTGCTTCCTGATAAGGCATCTAAATCATAAGGATAATTTTTAGATTTGTAGGTCAATTGATCATCTAAATACACATAAAGCGCTATATTAGATCCTTGATCCAAATTTGATACTGATTTGACTAAGTATATTATTGAAATTATTAATTACTTTTCAGCTAAAGGTAATTGCTGTCATTTTTTCGAGAGATTTAGTAGAAATCATATTTAGTACTATACTCGCTTTATAGAAATTGCAACTAAATGATGTTAACTCTCAAATATTAAGAAAATAGTTAAACTCACCTGACTTTAGAGCTGTGCCATCTGAGTAGATAATTCTTAATAAAAATGATTGTTTAAAATAATCTAGTCTGTATAATCCTCAAGAAAATCATCTCTAAATAATTTAGGTAAAAAATCATATTAGATTAAATTTATTGAGAGTCTAATGCATTTACTCACATTGAAAGTTGTCTATTAGCATGACTTCTCATTACTTAGTCTCTGATTAAGTTTTAAGAATGATCATTAAAAAATATCTCTTCAAAAGCCTACTCAGTTGTCTATAAAAATATATTTAGATTATTCAAATTCTTACTATGCCTAGCTCATTGGATTTTCTCTCAATATGATCTAAGAGTTCTTGCTTAAGTTTATTTTTCATCATAATAAGTCCTACAATATTTTTATTTATCAACTAGTGTAATATTGGTGTATCACTTACTCTCTTCGTATAGAGGATCTTTATTGCACTTTTAAATTGACCTCCTAACTTTATTTGATAACCTTGGAGGGCTATTGAAATTCGACTGCGAGAAGATCATATTAGTTGATTGATCTGTTGATTCTTACTTTTAAGAATCATTTCTTGAATGTATTACTTTTAAATGTGAAATGCTTTCATTGCCATTTCTTTGCTCTCCCTCAATGCTTAGTAGATTTATAAGTCCCTAAATATTTTAGCTTTGCTTTACACTATCATATCCTTCTCTGTTTTGATCAAATTTTGAATCATTGTCTATAAGTTAGGCAGTCTAATTTTTGCCTAGAGTATGAGAACTGAGTCTTGTCTTGGGTTTTTCGCTCATTAGTCAAAAAGTAATTATTATGTTTAAAATGAAATAAATTTATAATAGAATGTATAAATAAAAGATTAACGCATATTATAGATAGTAATTAAATCATTAAAGTGAATATATTAGTCTGATTCAATCTAGGAATCTATCAAACGCTGGGGTTTTGGGGTTTTGGGG